GACTCACTACGATTTGCAATCATTGTCACAAAAAAAAAAAAAGAAAAGAAAAGAAAGAAAAAAAGGCAACTGACTGATCTGAAAAGAAGGTCATTGTCCCAGGAAAAATTACAGAACCTCGTTATTTTTCTTAATGATTTCAGCCTCAGCACGCTGAATGCCACTAGTACCATTGTCTTTTGTGTGTAGTAGTAGACATCTGAATCCACTTGGGACCGGCTAAAAATGTTCCTTTGATTGAGGGGTAATAAAGGAATTAAATTTGTTCAGAGGAAGAGAAAGAAATGAGGTCTTAGTTCTTAGCATTTTATGCACCCCCGTGTATCTCTTCAAACCTCCATTACGATTTGTGTGTGTGTTTTGCCACTAGGTGTATATATATATATATTCTTTCTCCATGCATATATATTGTATTATTACAAAGAAATAGTATAGAACCCTGTTACTTCTTTTGTATTTTCCAATGAAACACGACCCAGAGCGCATGTTAGTACTTTGTATGTCCATTCCACCAAATTGTTCCTTGCAGATTGACCACAGATTCTCAATTTGATTTAAATCAGGAGAGATTTAAGGCCAGTCTATAGTGATTTGATTTGCTCACTGGTAAGGCTTGCGAGTATGTTCGTGCAGCGTTACAGTTTTCGCACGCTTCCATGTAATAACATCAATCGCAGGCAATGGCCGTAATGCAACTAATCGACAGTCGAGACAACAGTGTTTGGGCATGATGAAAATCTGATGCAATCACAGATGACGCAATAATTTTCAAGGCCAAACATCCAGTCAGTTCAGTGTGTCTAAAACTGACACGTAGGGTGAAAGAAAGGAAACTAAAGCGTTTGTTTTAATTAATTTGCACAAGGTATATATATATATATATATATATATATATATATATATATATATATATATATATATATATATATATTATAATAAATATATACAGTAGGGGAAAAACATATCCGTACACTTGAAAAATTGTATTTTTATAAATGTAAAAGCCTTAACTAAAACAAATTTTGATACATTTTATGTGTAAAGATACATTTTATTCAACATTATTTAAACTTAATTGATTCTTATTCTAACAGAAATTAATGCATTTTTTAAATTCTAACTGGTGAAAAAAGTATTCGTACAAATCAATTATTAGAATTAAATAATCAATTAATTATAAAATATTTCCCCCCACTGTATATATATTATAATAAAGAGAAAGAACAGTAAGATATATAATCCGGTGTTGTTATTAATATTTTTATTTTAACAACACAGTGCTCAATGCTAAATGTACAGAGCATAGATATTACTTAACCTCTTTTAGAAAGTAACTCATAATTTTTGATACAATAGTTGTCAGTGAAAAGAATACCCTACGGCCCTTGTTAAAAGGATTGGATTTCCCCATAACCATAGATAGTAATATTATGAATATATGTGCTTACACTGAGTAAATTTCAAAATAATTTATTCCAAAATTCGCTTGAAAATGAAACAGAACTAGTGATTTTAAATTAATTTAATTCTATAATTGAATTTGAAGTTTTTAGCTTCTGGTTTTGAAACATGGTAATTCCTGTGTAGCGATGGAACCATATATTGAAATAAGTAAATTTATAATATATATATATATATATATATATACATATATATATATATATATATATATATATATATATATATATATATATATATATATATATATATATATATATATTCGGTGTGTGTGTGTGTGTGTGTGTGTGTGTCGAACAATAAAAATGCTCTAAATCAAAATTTCACACACTGGGTTGTATATTACGATTTTTGTTTTATTTGTTAAATTAGGTTTCTCACTCAACCTCTTTCTACTAGGATGGCCATCATCAAGAGAAAAAAAAACATTCCTGATTGATAATAGCGGTAAACTGCTTGGGTGAATGACTGTCTCCGAAGAAGTTTAACTTTACCGGTAGTTTTCATTTGTTTTTTTTTATCGTTAATTTTTGGGTCAGTCCTTGCTCAAAGGCCTTTTTCAAGTTCTTTTAAGGAGAGATTGGGAGACTCATTAGTCTCAGATTTACCTACTCAGTCACTTTGACGGTTTTATTGGTTGCTGGGAAGTGTGTTATGTGTATGTCATCTTTTATTTTTGGGAGTGTGTGTGATGTGTGTATGTGTATATATTTGTACGAGCGTATATATGTAACAGACCTCATCATGTCAGTCTAGGATGGATGAAGCTGAGAGCGTTTAGAGGAGTCAGCTTGGACGCTTTATGCCTAGTATCCTCTTCTATGTAATATTCAACTATACAGAGATTATAATGTGTGAGAGGGATGTTACGAGTGGGGGGGTGATCTAGGAGGTTATATATTAATTCGCTCTGTGCCGCTTAGTTTTACTGAACAGATTGTTTTGAAACGCAAAATTCGTTTGTCTATTGTTCTAGTATTTTCCTATGTATATAGTTTGGGTTTATTTCCATTCTTTCAATAATAGTAAATCTGACATGGCTATGAAAATCATGTTTTCCTAGGCGGAAATGTTGTTCTACAGGTAATAATCTTTTATAGGTAACCCACTTCAAGCGGTAATTATTAATTCTGTGGTGAAAGGGCCAATCAGATTGTTTCTTGTATAGTGGACATTGAAATAAGTAAATCATGTTATGACTTCTACAGCTAGAGTTGTGGTAGTTTTTTAATCTACATGTGTGTGTGTGTGTGTTTGTGTTTTTATAGTCAGCCATCAGGCCAAGGTCTATGGGAAAGGCGACAAGTTGACATAACCCGGGATTTTGGCAAACATTCTGACATTAACCTCTTTGACCGAAGCAAGCTTTCTTTTGTACGTAAACAAAGAAAAAGAAAAACGGAGATTAAAAACTAAAAACAAAACAGCTTAAAGAAAAGCAATAGCCTCATCTTTACGTAGAGATCGAGAGAAAGACCTTCAAAGAGACATATTTATAACAGCGTACGTCTGAACGTGAGATTAAGGGAAAATGATTTTTTTTTTTTCATATTTTTCTGGAAGTTTTTCTAATTCGTCTGGCAACGATACAATTCTCTGGAGTGATCATCCAGCCTCGCGAATTCCTACAAGCCAACGTCTTTCAAACTGCTACAATAATAAAAAAAAAGCCCATTTCTGTCCTGAAGTCTGCTTGAATGTGTTACAACTTCGGAAGCGACTTTAAGCCCAGTGCAATTTTAAAAAAAGAGATAAATTTTAATTACAAAATTTATCTCTTTTTTTTTTTCTTTAATTGCGTTCCAACTTTCCCTCCCCATTCGTTATATTGAGTGTGTCTTTGTTTCCCAATTTCCAACGTATACCTTTGAAAAAGTGTTGGGCGAAAGGTACCTAAGGTATAACCTGACGTCCATTTTGTTTAAATCTATGTTTTATTTCTGCGGGTACAAATCACTTTATATATATATATATATATATATATATATATATATTATAAACTGTTACATTAAGACATGCAAGTTACTGCTACAAAATTGTATATTTTGTTTCGACGTTTAAAACGTCTCATCAGGTAGTTAACAATAATTGTAAATAACAATACTTTAGATACACTTCTCTCCTTCTTTTTTTTTTTCTTGTCTTTCCATTCTCTTACTAGTAGGGTTGATTTTTTAAGCTTTCTTATACCATTCTTTTTTTTCCCTCTCCTTTTTCTTTTCATGATTTCTTATTTTCTTTCTTTCTTTACTTATTTTGTTTGCCTTTTATGGAAAAATTTTCAAAAAATTAAAAAGACTTGATGTTTCATAAATTGTAATTTTAAATCAAATCGTTTATTACCATCATTGTTAACTACCTGATGAGACGTATTTAAACGTCGTAACAAAATATGCAATTTTGTAGTAGAAACTTGCATGTTCTAATGTAACAGTTATATACATATACATATACACACACACACACACATACACACATATATATATATATATATATATATATATATATATATATATATATATATATATATATATATATATATATATATATGGATTTTCTTTTTTTTTTAACCGATATTACGTTTTATTACTCTAAACGTTATTGTAGCATGCACCCTGTTTTCTTTTTAACATTGTACATTACAGTTCTGGTTAGTTTCCCCTAAAAAAGAGGACGCAGTTTCGAACTCTACAAGACAGCACATTTTTTTTTATTATGTTTCTTGAATTCTTATAACGGTAAACGTAATTCACACTGCGAAAAAACATGGTGTTTGCCCAAGTATGTGTATCCACTAACATAATGCGTAGAGCAATAGGAAATATCCGTGTATATGTTCATAAGAATTGCTTAGAAATCGATTTCATGCCTGAATAAATTGTAAAATTTATATTTGAACGAGTCTAGTAACGTTAAAATTTGTAAGCATTGTGTTACTGAAAAATGGACGTCGTACAGTGGAAAGACAGCTGTTTGGACTTACGCATGCGTAAGCGCTGGCTACAGAAGAAAGCAGACGATGGCCGATGGAGCGCCTGGCAAGATTTGCTGCAGTTTCAGGAGAATTTACTGGCGTGACATGGCAGACTGAGTGGCACCAATGGACATAGCGTACGTTTTAGTCAGAGGCAGATGGAAATCTCCGAAATAGCGTAGTATAAGAGTAAATTAGCGGTTTGTCACTTTTTTCTTTTATTTTACGTATATAATATATTTCAAAGTTTCTATTCATGAGTAAAAGTTTCATATTTTCATATTTTACTATTGTTTACAATCGACTGATTTATTTATTCTTTATGGCTTATCTACCTTTTGTAGGTTATTTAAAGCCAGAAAATATTTTTACATTTTAAAAATGTTGGGTGATGGTAATGATTTACTGATACGTCATACTAATTAACCCATAACTGGGGGTACAAAAGATGGATTCATACATTTTTCCAAGAGAACTTGCGAGCAAGTGAATATAAATATCCTGACTAGAATTCGGATTCGACTCTCCCATTCCTGGGTCCTTGCAGCTATACCTGCACATACAAGTTTGCAAAAACTGGTATTCTCAAGCATTCATCCATCTAGGTACTGATCAAGCTCAATGTTGCTTAACTTCAGTGATCGTACGGGAACTGGTGTTACAATGTGATATAGCCATATACCTGCTGTGTTAAAAGACAATTTTAAAAATTTAGTCTGTACTTATTTACATTACTGGGACTGTTATCCTCATCTTCATTGCCATATTCTCAAAGTTTCGGCCATTGTACGCTCCTCAAGGACACATGGCCCAGCGGATAATGACGTTGTTTAGATCCTGTGACTAGACCCAAAGAGTTGTGGGTTCAATACCAGGCCACAGCAGTGGTGAAAGATAACTTGTACAGTTGAGTTAAAGGGAAATAGCTGAAACATCCGGAAGAAGTATGGAACGTGGATCTAGAACAATCTACCACGTTGGACTAAATAAAGGGTTCGGTTCGAAATTCCAATCACCTGAAGGAGGCCGGAGCGTACAACGACCGAAAGGTTGTGAAAATAGCAATGCAGGATAACAGTCCGAATAATGTAAATAATGCAAGTAATCATAATACCTCATCTCGGAGATATAGACAGATATTAACCTTTAATGTATTTGATTCACACCGAGTGCTCTTCATTTCTGTTGCACAATGCAAAGTTGAATACGTAACTCTGATATGATTTACCCCATGTATGGACTAAATAGCTGCACAGAAAGAGTCCTATAGACTTGTTAGCAACTAGTCGAACACATAATTTAACTCCAGCTGACTGCGGGAATTCTTCTTCCGAGTAAATCAAGAATCGAAAAGAGACATGATCGCTTAAGCATGCATCACGCATGACGCCGAACGAAGGAAGATGATACGTTTTTGGATAACTTTACAGAGATTTTTGGGTGCCCTTCCTGGCAATGCTGGTTACAAACCACTATTCGCAAGTGTTTTTAAGTCGCTCAATGCGTACATTGCAAACTTCTCCCAACAATAAAAACAAGGTTTCTACGAAAACGGTATCAGCAATCTTGTAGAACGATGACAGACAATTGTTAAAAATAATGGAGATTATGTACTTGAATAATAATTGTTTTTTTGGGAGTATGTAACATATTTTTTAAATTTTCTAATCGGGTAGGATCTTTTGAAATCATCTAATAGAAGTGAATTTTAATACTGACTCGGCTCTCTCAAGATTTACAATACAAAACTCCGTCCAGATCTGTCGACATTCCGCGGCTGACTTGTCGACTCTCTGCTTTCGGGCGGAGAGGAACCTAGACGGTGGTATACCGAAGGGCACATTCACGTCTGGGGAGGTAGATAAGCCCGATCCTGTGTATGCTGGGTCTACGGGGAATTTTTGCCCAATCCTACGGGCTTCAAATCGCCCATCGTGAAAAAAAAAACGGCTTTGTGCCACATCCTGCCTTGTCGGGAGGCGAGATAAATAACCGCAGTCCAGATCTGCTGAGCCATGCGGTTCACTGCCAAGGTCGCGGTTGGTTTGTTGAACTCTCCGCCTTCGGGCAAAGAAGAACCCATAGGCTATGCTGAACGACAGAGTCATGTCGGATGGGTTAGACAAACCTAACACCGTGTATGCGGGGTCTACTGGGAATTTTTGCACAAGCCTGTGTCTCGGAATCGTCCCTCGTAAAAAAAGGGCTTTTTGCCACATACTGCCTTGCGGGGAGACTAAGATAAATAACCTCAGGATTTACAATAAATGTAGCAATTTATATTAGCTTTATTTGCCTCGGTAGCTAAAGTAGTCAGAGGAGAGTGGTTTGCCCGAATGTTCACTAACCCACGTCAGCAAGTCAACAGGCTTTGAGAGTCAGAGACAAGATCATTTTTGTCAAAGTATCTGGAAAATGAACAAAGCGTTCGCGCGCGCGTGTATATGTGTGTGTGTGTTTGTTCGTGTGTGCCTTTTTACGATGGCGGGAATGGCTCAACTTAACTTTGAGGATGATATGCTGATTCAGTCATCCGTGACGATAACGATAATACTAGTTAGCGCAGTGTAGCGTATGACTATTTAAAAAAAAAGAAATAAAAAAGACACCCGCATCGGCAGAGAAGAAATAAAACACACTAGATGTACACTTCAGTCTCAAAAACGCAGTTTGAGTCATTGCTGACTCGAATATCAAGCTTTCATCTAAGATCAAAGACGAATCATCTGAGATCAAAGACGAATCACTAGTGCCTGTTGAAAACTAACATTCAAAGTCCCGGTTTTGATCTAGGATAAAAAAACAAAACAATTCAAGGGTGCTTCTTAAAAATTTGAATTCGAAGGCCTTGCTTTCACTTGAGTTCAAACAATGAATCATTTTTGTTTGTTAAAAATTAGCATTCTAAGTTCTGGTTTTGATCTGAGATCAAATACGAATCGTTGGTGCTTGCTGAAAACTAGCATTCGAAATTCTGGTTTGATCTGAGATCAATCACGAATCATTTGTTCGTCTGAAAAATCCGAATCAAAATTTGTGGCTTTCATCTGAGATCAAACAGAAATCATTGGTGGTTGTTGAAGTTTAGCATTCGAAATCCTGGCTTTGACCTGAGATTGAATATTGATTGGTGATGTGAAAAATACGCAAATATCTGAATTTGTTGCAAACTCCGTTTTATTTGACATAAACTTACTACAGTGAAATACTAGAGTTGATATATATATATATATATATATATATATATATATATATATATATATATATATATATATATTTATTTAAGACATTTTTATGTTTAACGTTCTTTTTTTATAGATACAAGTATTTAAGTTAATACTCTGTTTATAATAAACAGTATTAAATAACATTTACTGGCCTGAATGTCCGAGAAATTTTCATAGAAAATATTCGTTAGTGCGCTAACTAGTATTATCGTTATCGTCACGGATGACTGAATCAGCATATCATCCTCAAAGTTAAGTTGAGCCATTCCCGCCATCGTAAAAAGGCACACACGAACAAACACACACACACATATACACGCGCGCGCGAACGCTTTGTTCATTTTCCAGATACTTTGACAAAAATGATCTTGTCTCTGACTCTCAAATGACGTCATATATTAAGAAATGGACAAAGTCCGACAATTTATTTATTAAAGACATTTTTATGTTTAACGTTCTTTTTTATAGATACAAGTATTTGTTTACATTTGATACGCCAGAGCAGTTATGAATGTACGAGATTCATGGAAGATTGAAGTTTATAAGCAGTAAATTCGACCTTGCCTACCGTACGCTCCTTTGTGGCCGATCGTTAAGGCACGTCAGCGTAAATGACGGTTCCGTATAGAATGCAGGTTCGAATCCTGTCAAAGGACGAATATTTTCTATGAAAATTTCTCGGACATTCAGGCCGGTAAATGTTATTTAATACTGTTTATTATAAACAGAGTATTAACTTAAATACTTGTATCTATAAAAAAGAACGTTAAACATAAAAATGTCTTTAATAAATAAATTGTCTGACTTTGTCCATTTCTTAATATATATATATAATTTTATATGGGATCTACTTAGTGGAAAGAGTTCAATACTCAATATCGATGATAGAGTTAACATATTCAACTGTATGGATATCAGTTTGTCATTATATATATATATATATATATATATATATCAGATGTGTATGCATATAAATATATATATGCAGTTTTTTATATATAACATTTATATATTTATCTGACGATCGCAAATAGCGTGAAACCCTGGGTCACATAATTACATCAATCCAACTATATATATATATATATATATATATATATATGAAAGAAGAAAAAATACATATATTTTACATCGAGCATTGTTCATGTAGCGTAGTTGTTTGTTTCTTATTATAGAATATATATATATATATATATATATATATATATATAATATAAAAAGAAAAAAAAACTTAACTTATCCGACGCGTTTTGTCCTCTGCGGGACTTTCTCAAGGTAAACGCAAGCATTTTATTTTGTAGCAAGTATATATATATACAAGAGCAAAATTCAATATTCTTTTTTCAAAGTTTTTGAGTTACCTGAAACGTCAGTCAAGACGTGGGAGGACACGAACCAATTCTATGACGAAAGCGACTAAATGATATTTTTAAAATTTTTATATGAATAACTTTTCTTTACCCACACGTTTCGTCCTCAGATGCACTTTTCCAAGGCAAATGTAAGGATTTTATTTTGCAAAATGTATTTATAAACAAAAATGAGAATTTTAAAATTTAAGAACACATATATATACACATCGGGCTAAGTGAAAGTCGGCATAAATTATGCGGGACGCTATGTGATGTAATTTAATGTCTAATAAACGAAAGTTAATAATTTTTGATGATTTTGATTTTTTTAATAATGTAATTATCTGTATATATAAAACAAAAGATGTATGCGTGTCTGTGTGATACCTTTTCACTCGAGATCCAACCAACCGATTTTGACCAAACTTGGTTCATACATTTTACAGTGTAAGAGATAGGTTCTTAGCATAAGAAATCGATAATTAAAAAAAAAATCAATAATCGATAAAGCCGATCAAAAATCGATAAATTCAATTTTTTTTCCTCCGATTTCGTTCAAACTCGGTATGTAGTTTAATTACATCATGACGAGCTCAACGATACTTCGTTTTTATGTATACGCCACTGCATTTAGTGAAAAACCAAAGAAAAATGGAAAAATCATTTCAACATCAATCGATTTCAGCACAAATTTTTAACTAAAAAACTCCCTCAATTTTCAAGCAATCTAATGCAAACTTCACTTGATAATCGAGTCCACCCATACAGTGAAAATCCGCGTAAATAGCGAAAAATGGCAATTTTACTGGTTTCTTTCTTATTTGTCGTTGATCTTTCAAACAATTTTCATGAGACTTAACTTTACAAATGTACCCTCTTTTACATTCCTGGTAATACACTGACAAATTGAATTTCAAAAACTCCAAAATAATTGTGGTCTGAAGTGGATCTTGATGTTGCCTGTTTTACCCCTTCATGTCCTCGGCTAACCTCGATTGAATAAATACAGACTACTTCTGTTATATCAGTAACTGCATTAATTCAAAATGTTTTTTTAATGAAAGTTCTTTAAAGTAATTGAAAACGATAGACTCTGTT